ATAAAATAATTGACTCACGGAAATATTGGAAATATAAATGTTCTAACATTCTAAGATGTAACGAATTACAAAGTCTCAGAATAATATATTTAAACGAAAGAATTTTACATGATTCATGTTGACTAGAAATTACTTGAAAATAATTCTACATGGAAGGTTTAAATAATGATTAAAGAATACATTAATTAGTATAATTTAGGATTTTAAAGAAATCGGAGAACTAGATGATAGAACCTCTAAAATGTATAAATACGTTGTAAATTTCTCTTTCATGTAATCTTTAGTTTTATTAGTTTTTTAGTAAACTCAAATATTATTATAATAAATTAACCTTGTCCTTGACCTTGTCCTTATGGTCTTCGAACATTATATTTTCGTAATGATAATAAATCTATCCCTAACGACGAATTTATACTAATCCCGTGCATAATTATTTTCTCTTATTTTATATTTGTCTCTATTAATTTTATTATTTTTTATTTCTTTTCTTTTCTTTTAGTGAGGTAATATTAATAAACCTTATTTAGTAGTTTTGGAGACGTACCTGACTTGGTAGTAAAGAGGAAAACGGCTAGAAAGGCACCCACCAAGAAACGTGATCAGGATACATAGTGTAAAATCTAAAAAGATATTGATTAGTATTTCTTAGTACAAGAAATTGTTTAATGATAGTAAAAGATAGTTTTGAGAGTAAAGCATAAATATACATTCGCGGAAATTGTTATTACGATTTAGTATAAATAAATGGGAAAATTGTATCGGCATGTCATCATAAATAAAAATCAAGAGATTTGTGTGAGACGCGGATTTTGATCTCACAATATGCAGATCACAAAAAAAAATATAACCAATCAATATATGACATCAATTTTCTTAGAATGTCTTACACCCCAATAGATGATGCAAAATAATTATATGAATTATGTGGAGTATTGCTTGTTATATTTTTGAATGGAAAAAGAAATTACAATTGATGAGATAGAGAATGCAGTTAGAACCTGTGGCCTTAATAAGATAATAAATTTTATTGGTGAGACTGATGCTCCAGATGATATAACCTCTAAAATGTATAAATACGTTGTAAATTTCTCTTTCATGTAATCTTTAGTTAGTTTTTTAATTAACTCAAATATTATAATAAATAAACCTTGTCCTTGTCCTTGTCCTTGTCCTTGTGATCTTCGAACATTATATTTTCGTAATGATAATAAATCTATCCCTAACGACGAATTTATACTAATCCCGTGCATAATTATTTTCTCTTATCTTATATTTGTCTCTATTAATTTTATTATTTTTTATTTCTTTTCTTTTCTTTTAGTGAGGTAATATTAATAAACCTTATTTAGTGGTTTTGGAGACGTACCTGACTTGGTAGTAAAGAGGAAAACGACTAGAAAGGCACCCACCAAGAAACGTGATCAGGATACATAGTGTAAAATCTAAAAAGATATTGATTAGTATTTCTTAGTACAAGAAATTGTTTAATGATAGTAAAAGATAGTTTTGAGAGTAAAGCATAAATATACATTCGTGGAAATTGTTATTACGATTTAGTATAAATAAATGGGAAAATTGTATCGGCATGTCATCATAAATAAAAATCAAGAGATTTGTGTGAGACGCGGATTTTGATCTCACAATGTGAAAAAAAAGTAATTTTTCTTTCCACTAAATTTAAATTTTTATTAAAATATAATTATTTTTTCTCGGAATTATTTTCAATTGATCTTTTATACCATCTTGATTAAAAAATTGAAATTGCTCTAAAGCTAACCCATTTAATGTTAATAACCATGTGGTTTATCATGAATGCAAAATCACCATATCCCAAAAAATATAATAATGAAGGAGGAGGTAAATGACACATGATAGTGAAACCATCAGAAGAAAAAGGTTAAATTGAAGAGGTAAAAAACTCGACATGAAATATAGGATATTGAATCAATTTCACAATGAGATTCTACAAAAGAATGATAATTACTATTTTTATAACAAAGAGACACTACTTGAATAATAATACATGTCATGTTTTTTATGACAAAAATACCAAAACCACCAATAGTTATTGGAAATGGAGAATAACATTACATAATAAATGCTTAATTTTAATTTACCTAATATTTTGAATTGTACATCCAGCTAGATTTTTTTGAAAAGCATTATATGCACAAGTACTTAAAGATGATAAAATGGCAATAAAATTTGAATATTTTTCAGAATAATACAAATTTTGCACACTTCTTCTCTCTTTGCTATTTCCAACATAACTTCACATAGACATCCAAATGTAGACTGTTTTCTAAATGATCATTTTTCACCCAGCTCAGCAAGCTTTTACCAAAAAGATTCTTCAGCTTCTAGATTAATATTATTTATTTGTTATATAAGCTGCATAACATCATTATTAGTTATATATCTTGATATTGAATTGTTATGCAAACTAATTTTAGAGGTAAACTTATAATTTTTTGTATCTATATGTTTTTTATTTAGTGCAATCTAACAAATAATAATGAAAGTATCCCTTAGTATATAATTAAATAATAAATTTACTAAATTATAAATATAGTATGGTTGGCTCGGTCTAAAGACCTCATATTGCTGCGCCATGCGGCCAAATTTCAAAAATAGCAATTTTGTAATTCGCTCAAAAATGTAATAAAATTTTTCAAAAAATAGGACTTCACGTGATTTTAGTTTTCTTATTGTCAAATTTAGATACGATAGTCAATATCTAGTCTAAATTTGGTAATAATTTTTCCTAAATTTAGAAATGATCATAGTGAACGAATTCCTCGCGAGCATAGTAAAGTACATGTTTTAAAAAAGAATAGAACTCTACAACAAATAATTTTTTTGAGAAAATCTCTCTATTACATTAAAACTAAAGTCACATTCTATCAACTAATAGGGCTACTTTTTAAAAAGGTAGGACAGAAAGTGACTTCTATACTATTAAAATTTGCCCAAAATTTAGGAGGTCTTTAGACCAGGTGCCAATCATCTAAACACATCAAATGCTGCGCCAACTGGTGAAATTTTTCTATGAAAATCATTCCTTCCTTTCTTTTTTGTTTTGTTAGACATCATATTAATTCTTCATCAGGGTCCTTGATAAATCCCCTTGTTAAGTCATTCAAATTAATATACATATTTTCAATGTCAAATATATTTACTAATGATTATATGATTCTTGTCAATTAATTGTTTAAATGAACATTATTCATAAGAATCATTTACATTTTTCATAGGAATAATGTCAAATGCCTTATATCATTAAAGGAATAAATTAATAACTAATTAATTTATTTATTTTTATAAAAAATTAAATGTAAAAAATTACTTCTTTCCATTGTTACCTTAATTTTTTCAGGCTTTGTAAATTAATTATATATTACTTTTGTATATGGAAATCCTCTATCATACATACATAGAATCCTATTGTCTGCAATAAAATTGCCAGCTTTAATTAGCAATCTTTCCCAAGAAAATTCAGTGTATTAATACTTTGTAACAATTTCTACACACAATAATTTATATATTAAAATAGAACGATGACAAGTGATGACAACTACTGCCGCCATTCTTTTAATAAATGCTTAGTCTTTTTTTTTTTTAAAAAAAAAAGAATTGTTGTTTGATCGACAAACACATATGGTTTTTTTTTTTGGAAAACAATTTATTTTTCAATGGCAAAACGTGAGTCTCCTAAAGAAGATGTGTTAATAACAGAGATACTTTTTTTATTTGTATTGATATATATAACTAATAATAATGATAATGATAATTACAAGGATATAAATTATAATTAAAATCCCACATGTATTCAGTGTGTTTTCCGCGAAATTTTTAGAGGTTAAATAATTAAAGGAGAGTCTTGATACCATATGTTTTTCCATGCATATCTATTTAGGGAAAAAAACTGGTACAGATGAATTAAATATATGAATACTTCCAATCAAATGGGTTGATATAACCATATGGCTAATGAAAGAGGGGCAGTAAAACTCTGCAACCCAAAGCTTATTACAAAAAGTGAAGCAAAAAGTATAAATCGGGAATTCATGATCCTGCTTAATCAGCGTAGGCTACTATTTATTTTTCGTCGGTGGCTTTTAATTTTTTTTCTTATTAGTTATTAGTTATGAAGTGATTGTAATACAATTTGCTGTGATATTTGTCGCAGTCTAAAAATTTTCTTGCTTATTAATATTAAGATTACTTATATAGAATGTGTTAATGTTCTCAATGATTGATTATATTATTCATTCTCTATAACGAATATGCAATTTTTATGCTTCTGTTTGCTATAGAAAGAAAAATTTTATTATAGAATGAGAAATTAATATACTTGTTACATATATATAAAGAATAGAGATTTAACTGTATATGGAATAGTAAAACAAAAAGGATGATCTTCTCCTTATAGGTATAACGTAAAAGACTGGTTTTCTTCATAAAACGAACAATGCCTTTTTATATATTTTGGTGCAACCATTCAAAAAATTTTATTATTATTATTATGATGCACGGGGTCTACATTCAAGTAGAAACAAAAAATAAAACACAAGCAAAACATTAAGATACTAATATTAATATTAATATTCAAGTACAATTATGGTGGTTTTAATATATAAAATTTTGTTTTGGTAAATATAATATAAAAAAAAAAAATGAATAAATTTTTTTTAAAAAACCAATTTACAGGTAAAATTTCTAATGATAATAACTAAATTATAATTATTAATTTTACACACTACTGCCAACACTACTGCTACTAATAATTATAATTATAGTTACTACTATTATTATTATTGTGAATGAAAAAAAATAAAATATGTTAATGATATATATATATTGTGTTAAAAATTATATAACAATAAATAAATTATAAATAATAATAGTAATAATAATTATTACTGATTAAAATTAAATTAAATCGTATACATTATTTTCTTCCTTTCTTCTCTATCTTCTCTCCCTCTTTTCTTTATATATTAACTAACATATAAATTAACACAATTCCCTCTAGCTATTAATTTTCCTTCGAATGCCATCACAACATCTTCATCTGAATTAATTGTGATGTAATCTCCATCTTCATCTTGATACTTTATACGTAATGGTATGGACTCGTCACGTCTTGTGCTACATAACCTTATTTTACGTTCTATTCTTTCACACAATTCTCTATACTCGATATTTTGTGGCACTACTATCACAAATATTTCATCTGCGTAATTAACTTTAATCTTCATGGTTAAATTGTTATGGTTGGATGACGAATATTTGTGCCCATTTTGTTGATTACCACTTGATGGTGGCGATGATGACTGTTGTATAGATGATGATGATTGTAATGTTTCTGATAACTGCATTCCATTATTCGATCTTACAACATTGTTGTTGCTAGATGGTGGTGAAGCCGGTAGTTCGGGCAATGGCTCGCCGCTTTCAAATGATGATTCTTGAATCGAGTGTATGTTTGGAGTGCTGGCTGATCTCAAACGTTGATTACGTAAAATAGAATTTGCTGCTTGCTGCTGTTGTTGTTGCGCAATTATTGATCCATTCACGTTTTGGTATGTTTGCTGATCTGTTGGTGGTGGTGTGTTATGAGAATGTGCTCGTTGCATAGATGTCGAGGTTACATAATCATCTTCTTCCGACATCATAACTTTGGCTAAAGTGTCTGCAAGTGCTGATGGTTGTTCAATACTTCGTCTTGACCATGTATTTACCGAATTGGAATTTGAGGTACTCGTGCTACTTCTTGCTGATTGTGCTGGTGATGTATGGTATGATGATGGTGGTGTCATTGTTGGTGATGTGGAAGTGGAAGTGGAAACGGTTGTTGTGGTAGTATTTGTTGCTGTCATCATTGAGCTATTGCTACTACGTGGAATCGGTGGCATCGATGTGTTACCATGAGTTCGGTGTGCATTTGATGGCAATGGTTGTGATGAATTCCAATTATATGGAGGTAATGGTGTTTGTTCCTCCGTTCTAGGTCTAGACTTACCATTTCCACCATACGGCGTAGCAGGAGGTTGACCATATGGTAATGATTGACTTTTTGCTATTTTATCTTTATTATTGGTTCCCCATTCATCATCATCATCATCATCATCATCATCCAACTCATCATCATCATCATCTTCCTCATCAATAAACGAGGCTGCATCATCATCATCATCACCACGTCTTGGGTGTATTGGTAAATTAAGATTCTGTAAAGATGCCAGTTGAGTATTTGATACTCCTACACGTTTGACAGGTGTTGAATTTGGTTCTGATGAATTTTTTGAATGGATATTTGATGATATCAATGTATTTCTATTAGAACTCTCATTTTGTAATTTCTCTATTGTCGTTTGCCATAATTTAAGCTGTTCTTCATTACGACATTTTAATGAAAATGAATCCAATTCTGAATCTCCTTTCCAAAATATTTTTAGCGACCATACTAGAAAAGAGATTTATATATATATATTTAATATGATAATATATTATTATTATTATTATTATTATTATTATTATTATAACTTACATCCTTGTCGACTATTATTTACAATGGCTGATATATTATGTATATAGATTCTTCCTTTAAGTTGTAAAGACGGTTTTTTGCTTTTCTTTCCATCTTTCAATATGCCTTTTGGTTTTGTTTGAGATTTTTTCTGTATCTCTTTACAACAAAGTATAATTCTTTCAAAAAGATATACATGATACTCTCGTTCCGTGTCATCTTTTGACATTATAAAAACATCCTCAAGATGTAAATCTTTAAATGTCGTTATCTTGTGTCCCTTCCAATCTTCAACACGACTCTCTAAATCTTTAACTATTGCATCATTCTCTTGTTTACGCCTTGTCTCATTAACTCGATCTGCTACTCTTTTTATTGCAAGTAAACCCTGCTGGATCTCATCATAAAACTGTGTCTCATTACTATCAGTAAATTTCAGTAATTCCTAAAAATTTTGAAAAGAGTAATAGTTTAATTTCGAATAGAAAAAACCAATCAATTCAATTCGTTTAAAACTATTTATTTAATTATTTGGGTTTTACCTGTAATAATAGTGGATATTTACAAATACGTTGTATAGGTTTTATTAACAGTGAAGGCAATTCATATGTTGGTTCAACCTTATTTGCTAATTTCTACAAAGTTCAATTATAAAGTAATTAATTATATAATTAATTATATAATAATAATAATAATAATAATAATAACAGATATTTTTGATCCACCCACTTGTAAATTAGGTTTTTCTTTAATTATTAATTCAGAAGCAGATTGATAATTTGCACAAAATGGTTCATATACAGTAAAAGCATCTTCCTATAATAATTGTTTAGAGATAAAAATTTATTAATTAATAAAAGTATATAACTAAATATAATCTATATATATAATGTATAAATAATGCACATATATTTTTTACCATTTGTATAAATAAAATTCCAAATCTTTGTTCTGATGGTGGTAAACTTGCATTTGCCTCAACGCGAATAAGAAAACGACGTTGAAAATCAACCAGTTGATTAAGATTGGCAAAAAGTAAATGAATTGTATCAGCACTAACAATATCTTTAATCTGAAGTTCTTTTGCATAACTCTAAAAATAAAAAGTATATATTTTAATATTTAAAAAAATAATAATATACATATATATATACATATATAATGGAATATTTTATTTAATAATTACTTGTAAAGCTTCCATATCTTGTACATATTTTCTCTCCGTTTCTAATAACTCATGTACAACTCTTGCTCTATTATCTGTAGGCTTCGTAGGATCTGAATTTCGTAAAGTATGCCTTTTTGACATATTCAAAAGCCCTTTTTCTTCTATTTTATCTATCACAAGTTTTACAGTGTTAATAACCTATAATTTTAGTATAAATAAATATTATTATTTTAATAAAATAATTTAATTTTAACCATGAAAAATATAAAATTATTATTACTTACTTTAACGAAACCATTAGTATCATCCTGATATAATTGCGTTATAGTAAATATATCATCTTGTTCAAATTCAAGTTGTGCTTGACAAGCTACTAAGAAATGATAGACGCTAGCCTTATTTGCTTTAATACTACCACCAGGCTTTGAATCTTCAATTATAACATTCAAAGGTTTTGATGTTTGTAAAGTATTGAAAAGTGCACAAAGTGGATAACCTAAGCGAAAAGTTTTCCATAATAAAGTAATTGGATCATTTGGTATCGAGCCCTTTTGTCCATTTTCAGAAGTTGGTGTTCCCACTATAGAACCATCAGCTTGCATGTTATCTTTTACATGCTTTAAATATTCTTCAAAACCTTCAACACAATAAAGTCGATCTAATAAGTCAACGCATGACGGGTATAATGATTGTGAAGCTTGAGCTGGTCGATTTAAAGTGTTGGGCGCATTGGGAAAACTTTTTATATGATTAGCCTTCATCACTCAGTTCAAGATCTTTTAATTAAATAAAATGTATGTTATCTATATATAAATACAAATAAATATATATTTTTTTTTTCAAAAATTTTTTTAATTCTTTAAATAATTGACAAACATTTGATAATAAAAATTATTCGCATTCATATTCATAATTGAAGGTCACTCCACCACATTTTTATAGGTTCACATTTGTTATGTTGCTATGATTCGTTGATTTGCTTGCTGATCAATTAATTAATTTAATTTAATAAATTAGTAATATTAATAGTACCGGGTTGGATTACCTTATATTCGGCCGAAATTTTTGAATGATATAATAATTCACGAGATTATCGCAATTTTTAAATGGGATAAGTTTTCCAAGAAGTCATTTGATATATAAATTGAGCAACTCATTCATCGAATTCGTTTTTACGTCCAATAATTAAATCGAAAAGCCAATCTTATATAATAACAATAAATTATTTTTGAGTTAACGATAAATCATATAATTAATACCATTTTCTTGATTCAAAAAAAATTTCTAAAAAAAAATTTCTTCATTAAATAAAGAAACTGGCGGAAAAAAGTAATAAATAGGTATACAATATTTCAATATTTTATTTATAATAATATTCTAATTTCGATGCTCTTTAGTTCTCTAATCTCAAAATGCAATTGCTTTTCTTTCAAATATACTTTAGTAGTTCAATAGCGTCTTTCGCTGGAAATAATTCCTATTGCCCCTGATCACTCTTTTCCAGCAGATACTCTTTGTTACCTGTCTGGGTCTGGAACGTCCAAATATGTTTAATATCTTTAGCCTCCTCCCTTGGACTTTGCTTTTATATCTTGGGCTCAGTTTCTACTGGCCATGCCTAGGTTTTCACTTGCCTTAGGCTCCTATCTAAGTACTACTAAATAAAAGAATATAAATATATACAACTATATTTAGTAAATGCGTTCCCCTGGTAAGATAGTAATTAATTAAATAATTAGTTAGATGGGTTTCGCAAAATGCCGTCAAGAGTTTAGTTAAGATATATTTTTATTATTATATGGGGGCATGCTTGCAACAAAACCAGTGAACATTTGTATTACCAAGAAAGAATTCAGGGTAACATCACAATTGTACTATGGTGCGGGTCACTCTAATACTTTAAAGCTAAATAGGGAAATATTGAATGCTTATTGAAAAAAATAGAGACGATATTTGATAGCTATTACTATTGACTAATTCTACAATCCATCGTCGAAAAAATTGTTGGTTCCAGAGTTATTAGCTTTTAAAATTTTTAGATAAACTTTAAATGTTTCAAATTTGGGAAAATTTTTATATGTAACATAAAAACACGGTTTAAAAAGTAAATAACCCTGAAACCAGTAATTTATTTTAAATTATCTCGACGATGGATTTTTCAGATATTTCCCTATCTAGCTTTAAAGTTGATCAATTTTTTATTTGCCATTGTTTTAAATGCACATAATTAGTTTCAAAAAAATGTATTTATGAAAATGTAACAGCAAATTAACAAAAGGCAAATTAATTATGAGTAAAGACACTAAAAATTAGTAATAGTGCTTCTCAAGAAATTTATTTGTTTGCATCTGCATTAACCCAATCTATGCGGATCCAATAACTTTTCAGTTTTGTAATTAAATAACCCAGTGTTTTGCTGTGTATCAAAAACTGGTGATGAGTCCTCTTCTAAGGCTTGATTTTCAAGGCAGATGACCGGAAACTCTCGTTCTCAATTAGCATTAATTTTTTTAATTTTTCTCCAAAAATGCTAACAAATCCGCAAGCAAAAAGAGAAAGAAAAACTGAGCACGAAGAATACTATGGGGTAAATATCGTCCTGATTTTTTTAGTGTGTACAACACCGATCATGCATGACCGTTTGTTTTGAAATTGTTCACTTTGTTATTCATTTTTAACTTAGTTTATTGAGATTCTACCTTTGGTTTCTTTAAAAAAAGAATTCTCTAACCCTTTTTTCAAATTCTTTTAATAGTTAATGGAATGAATCGTGTATTTGTGATGCGTGCTCTCATTTAGAGTCAGGTGATGATGGTAGTTTTTATATGCGACAATCATTTCAAAAAATTTTTTATTAGTATTAGACTATCGCATTTTTGATTTATTTTTATTTATACATAATAATAATATTAAATGACTATCCATATTTGTTTAAAATCAACCAATCATATTTATATTAATCATTTCTTCATGCTATCTAATTATAAAGATCCAATGAACAAATATGTGCCATTAAAGCCGTCAAATGAATGCTCTTTCACATTGAAAGAAGCCCTCTATGTAAATCTATAGTTATTCAAAACCAAGATTTGTTCAATGTTACCTTTGTAAGCTCAATAAGTGGTTGAAAACATGTACAATATTATAAGCTTCATATGGGCATAACTTTATGAGGTTGTTATTGATTATTAAAGTTTAGAGAAAATGGCAAATAGGAAAAGGTGCGGGTAGGAGATCCTCGGTCGTGCGTGATAGTAACAGCCATAAACTTTAACACAATCTCTCCTAGTTTGGGTTTCGGAATCCCCAAAATCTAAAGTGTGTAACGAAAATAATGGCGGTTCATGATTTTGCATAACAAACAATGAAATGGTATCATCTTTACTAGATTTCTTATCTCTCATTGAAGATACTTATAAAGTAAAAGACCTCGTCTATTTCTACTTTCTATCTCTATTATCTTATAAGCACGTGTTACACAAAAATTGAGGCTAACTTCAAAATGTTTCACGTTATTTTACATTACTGGTCTGACAATGCTCATTATCAAGGAAAAATACATCAGGAAGTGAATATTCTCTTTCATACCGTTAAAAATAATTTCAAAATGCCTAAAGAATGAGCACTATTGAACATAATCAGGATAATGGCTGTCTGATCCAAGGTTTTATACACTTTTTTTTCAAAAATAATCGGGTTTCTTTTTATTTTTAATTGACAAAGTCTAGAAAATATAGAAGCATGTAATTTTATCTTCTACAATCTGATAAAGTTTTTATGTAATTATCATGTATATTTTTGTGTTAGAATAATTATTAAAAAATTTCACGTCAAATTTTTAAGTCAAAAATTTTGTCAAGGTTATAAAAGAAAGATGTGAATTAGCTTTACAAAAATTGGCAATATAAATTTTTTTATTTCAAATGAATTTAAACTTATTTAATTATGCTTTGTAATCGTGATAACTCGCCTTCACCTACCTATCTTTCAATCTTTGTTGAGATATGCAACTTTTCGTCACCGCCATTATTTTCGTTACACGCTGTAAACTTCAACCTATATTAATTTTCCAAAATAAGATTATTTAATTATTTGTTTTCTGAAATTATTTGAAATTTTAATTAGCCTCAAACCTTAATTTTGCCCACCACATTTGACACGCAGGTTTCCTGAAACTGTTTAAGGAATTCAAAATGGTTTAGAGCCAAGGTATTAGTCTAAATATATATTAACCAAACCATATGTACAATTACATCCAAACCTTCGATCTTTAGATATCCCATATTGTGAGGAGCTTGCTGATGCAGCAGTCTGTGATATTGCGCATTGTCCAAAGTCGAAAAGATTAAATCTTGGCCACTAATGAAACTACCAAGCGAGAAAGTGCATTTATTCATTCAACAAATAGTTAATGGCTTTGATTATTGTTTAATAGATTGTCTTCCAGCGTCCAATTCAGTAATTACTTTGAGTGCTTGTCTAGTGGCTGATTTAATTTTGATTCCACTCTTGAGTTCCCTGCCCAATTTATGGGCTAGTTTAGCCATTGAGAAAACTTCAACAGTGTGTGTTATGACCTAATATTCAATGCCTCAATCTCAGTTATTGCGATAACATTACTGATACTGCCGTCAAAGAAATTGCACAGTCGTGCAATATTCTAGAACACTTTCATTTTTGTGGGTGTGATTCCATCATTAGTATAACTATTTATAGTATTACATGTTCATGTCCAAACACTCAACACCATGAACTTGGTTTCTCCGAGCTTTATTACTGATACAACCATCGAAAAACTGCATGTTCATCTTCTAACCTAACCAAAATATTATATAAATGTTTAGTAAAAATCGTCAGGCATGTTTAATCCAAACATTGAATTTCTATTCTGAATAATTTGGACAAATATTAGATAAAAATATATCAGCATAATATATAATCAAAATGACGTTCGTAAAATGTAAAGTCAAAGAAGAATTCCGGTCAAAGCATTAATTGATACAACTTTTCGCTATGTAAGAATTCGATTGACAAATTTGGATAGAGTATAATAAGGCTTTTAATTATGTCATAAAGACTTGAGAAATGCGGTGGATGACATAAATTGTTTAGTAGTTAATAATTGTGTATCACATGATTGAGGATTATCAATTCTTTTATCTGAATCACAATAGAAATATTATCTTTGATGCTTATTTTGATTTAAATTTATTATTATAAATAAATATGGAAAAATTAAAGGCTAAAAAGTGTCCCAATTTTCTATGCAACTTGGCTAATTAATTTTTCACAAATCATTAGATTATTTGGATTGTTTATTTCAATAATAATGTTTGCACGGAAAAAATATTTACATCATTCAATCAAATCAACATTACGAGCATGTTCGGCAAAAATATTTAATGTACTTTGGTCAGTATCGTAGACAGAATACCATCCTGGGGCTAATTTTTTTTATATAATAAAAAAAAAATTTTTTTAAATTTCGCATACATATATAATATATATATAGATAGATGAATCAAAAACTTTTTGTTAAACTCACGTTCATGCGGTGGATCACCTAACCATTGTGGTATTGAATCAGTTGGTCTGGCTGATAGTGTAGAATAAAAGAATAAATAAACTTTTCATGGTTTTTGAACAGTGAAGCAATTAGAATATTACCTAATCCAGCAAATGCCCAAAATGCAAGACCTGAAAATCTTTTTTGTTTTTCTAATTGCAAAACCTTATCAGCAATTGCTTTGAAATATCTATCCTTATTTTTTGTTGTGGCACGTGGATCATATTTTGAAATATCTTTCCATCCATCTCTTGCCATGCCTTTTTTTCAGAATCTTATTTAGCTCATTGAATATAATGTTTTTTGATATATAAAACTCGCTAGATTATGTTTTGTGAATTACTAACCAAATTCTCCTAATAAAATCGGTTTATTTGATATGTTAGTGGACCAATCACTAGTATTCTCAAGAAATTCAATCATAAAATTTTCAGCTTTTTGATAATTTTCTTCACTTGGATCACTCGAATTATAATAACCCCAATTTTCAACCCAAACATGAGCACTGGTAAAATCTTAAACATAATTAGATTAACTTCTTTCTCACATAAATTCAACTTGATTATTATTATTTTTTAAGAATAATTTACCTATATGTTTGCTACGATGACTTGTGATAAACCAATCTTTCCCATGTTTACCCTCAACTCCTGTAGATACTAAATGATTAGGATCCAAGGATTTAATAAAATTTGCAGTAGAGTCAATCCAATTAAAAAATATTTCATGATGATGTTTATCATTGGTTCCTTGGTAAATCGGAGGTTGTGGTTCATTAGCAAGCTCCCATGCAAAAATAACAGGGTCATCTCGATAAAATTCACCATTAATCATGTTACGGCGATTAATAACAGTTTCAACATGGTTTAGATATAATTGTTGACATTCCTTTTGAATCTTTTCATCTGAATAAAATCTTGCTGCATATTCTTCAAAATCTAAAAATTCTGATCCCCACTTTGGATATGGTATTGGCGTGGTTTTATCTATCCAATTAACATATTGTGCAAAGCCACCAGACCAATGCCAATAATTTGATAATGTCTATTTATTTGGATATATATACATATTTTTTTAGTATGAATAAACCTAATTAAGATCTTTAACCAAAAAAAAAGGTTTATTACCATTATTGCTGTAATATCATATTTTCTCAATTGATCCAAGAACCAATCAAGTCCTATATTAACTCATTAAATAATTTATTAAACAATAAAAAAAAATCTTTTGGAACAGCTGGACTACCTTGAAAAACTTCTTCATTATATACCCCCGGTGAATTCATCAATGCTGGACGCATTCTATATGGTTCACCGTCTGGCCCTTCACTTCCGGCCATAATTCTAACACAATTTATTCCATGTTTTTTCAATACCTCCAAATCTTTTAAAACTCTTGTTTTATTTGACATTCCAAGATTCATTGCTTGCCAATAATTAGCTCCAACAACATACAAATTTTTATCATTCAAAACAAAACTTGTACCAATAACCTTGACAAATTCTTTGGAAGAAGGATTTTGTTTGAAATTTTCATTGGCTGTGAACATTTTGCTGATAAAAATTTTTTCATAAAAAATCTTTTGGAGTAAGGTCACAAATAAAAAGACCAAGACAATAATTATAAAATAAAAATAGACTTTATTCATTATTATTGATAATCGAAATCGATCGACCGCGTGATTTTTTTTAATGCACAAAATTTAAATTTTAAAACATGGCATATTATGACTCAAATCAACTTACGTGGAATGATCAGCATACTATTAATGAAGAACAACAATATTGTTATTGTAGAGGTGATAGGAATTTGAGTGAAGTGTCGTTACAATGTTCGGGTTGGTAAATCTAAACGTATACTCTCTGGATCCTTTTAAATGGTTCCATTGTTTACTATTTTTTTTTTATTCGTGGAATTAATAATATTTAGGTTGTTTTAATTGGTTTCATGAAAAATGTATTAAAATTTCTGTTGATAAGACTCTTCCAATATTTACTAATTATAAATTTGTTTGTAAATGGTGTAATGGAACAGATACCGAGAATTTCAAGGTACTTATAGCTAACCTTTATTTTATATATATATAACTTTCTTTTGACGAAGTTTTTAAAACTACAAGTAGCGAACACAAGCTGGCTGGAAAGAGATTGGCGGATGTGCAATAGCTAACCTTATGTTACAACAACATATGTCAGAACACCGAGCAGCAAGAGGAGATTGTCGTTATAATTCATCATTTTCTAAAAAGTTATCACAATTTAATTATTACTTTAATAAAAATGATCATTTAAGACCTTTTGTTGATAAGAATTGGTCATCTTTATGTACTGAACGTTCAAGAACTGCTACATGGTAATATTGATTAATTGATAAAAAAAATTTTTTTTAAGAAAATATTTTTTATTGACAATATATATATTAATGAATTAATAAATAAAATGTTAGGTGGGCTACTTTAGGTTCATGTTTATATTCCACAAAAGATATTTTTGTTGCCAAAGATGAAAATAATAGATCTGCAAGTTCAAATTTTTGTCTTATGGATCCAAATTTATGGAATATAAAACCAGGTTGTTTTGGAGTTAGTGTTTAATTTCTTTTTTTTTTTTTTTTATAAAAATGAATCAATATCATATGTCTATAAGATCTGCAACTCAAAATAATATATTTTTTTTAATGTTTATTAGTCAACACATTCAAGGATTCCATCTCGTGCTGTAAAAGAAACTATTAATAATCGTAATTTACGTATTACGCATGATTCCAATGCACATAATGATGCTTCACCACCACCACCAACACCACCACCATCATCATCATCATCAAAAAAACCATCATCATCATCATCAAATCGTTTTCATGAACCATCTACCGCTGGCAATGAAACTTCTAATCAATCAAATCCTTCAAATACTGTAATTGCATTGATTGAAGCACGTTCATCTTCAACAGAATTTGGGCAATCGGGAGAACAAAATAATCTTCGAAATGGGTTTAAATATTTACCTTGTAAATCAGATAAATTATTTTCTTATACACAATATCGAAACTCTGAATTGAGACCATATGGAGTGCGACTTTCTAAAGAAGATGCAAGTCTTTCAGTATGGATTAGTGGTGATCAATTAACTACCACAACTGATCACGGGTTTTCAATGGCAAGAGCCAACTGTCCCGTAAAAGAAGGAAAGTGGTTTTACGAAGTTTTTATAGATCGTGGAGGTGAAGGAAAAGTTGATGGCAAAGATGGTGCACACGTGAGAGTTGGGTGGGCACGTAGAGAAGGTAGGAAATAATTAAAAGATTACAACTACTGTAAATCATGGTTATAATTAATAATTATTTGGTAACATATAACGATTATTAAGGTTATTAAAAAATATATAAATTTATTTGTAGGCAATAGGAATTCTCCAGTTGGATCTGATGGATATAGTTATGGAATAAGAGATCTTACAGGACAGAAGGTTCATATGTCACACGTAAAAAAATTTGGGGAACCTTTTAAAACAGGTGATGTTATTGGTATTTATATATCATTACCACCTTTGAAAAAAGTTAGTAAAGGTTATAAATATAAAGCACCTAAAAGACAAAGAATTCCTATTTTATTTAAGGGGGAAACGATATTTGAATATAAAGATTTCAAGCCAACTCGTCGAATGAATAAACTGTTAGAATTACCAGAAAAGCCAAAAAAAAAAGAATTTTGGTGGCAAAGACAACAACTAGAAGCCGCAGAAGAAGAAAAAGAAAAAAAGAAAAGACAATTATCACCAGAGCCAGAATTGCCAACATTACCAGGATCAAAGATAATAGTCTATAAAAATGGAATATGTCAAGGAATAGCATTTGAAAATTTATTTTCATTTTTTCCTATAATTGATAAATATACGGCAGATGATGATTTGATTGAAGATGACGGATCGTTGGGGTATTACCCAGCAGTTTCAATGTTTAGAGGTGGGACATGTACTTTAAATTTTGGACCTCATTTCAAATATCCACCACCTCCCAATCCCGGACTTGAATTATATAGTAATAGTAGTAGTAGTAACAATAGTAGTAGTAGCAACAGTCGCAGTAGTAGTAAAGGTAAAGAAAAATTAATATCATCAAAGAAAAAAATTGAAATATGCAAATGGAAACCGATGTCAGAAAGATACATGGAATATGTTGCAGAAGATGTAGTTTACGATATTGTAGATGAAATAGAATTATGGGATTGGATGAGAGGACAAAATAAAAACAAGGCTTCAATGGTCAATAAAAGACCATATTCAGCAATATTAGCTAACAATAATAATAATTCACAGGAATTTTCTGATGGAAATTCGAAAAAATTTAAACAGGAAAAACAAGAACCAAAGATAGAAGAAGAATATGATGACTCAAAATATTTAGCGCAAGATTGGGATCTATTTATTTAATATTGTAATAATGAAATCTATCTTTTATTAAAAAAAGATTAATATACCTTTATTTTTTTCCTTTCTCCTCTGATGATAATGATGATTATGAAGGGGGTTTGTTTGAATTTCGATAGGTAATACTATATTACTATCAAAAAAAAAAGGCAGAAAGATCTACTTTTATATTTTCTTCTTTACACACACATAAAGCCACAGGATAAATGTTACTAATGACAACAATATAACAATGTTTTAGTATCTGGTTTGCTGTGGCAGATTAAAAATTTTTTGTAAGAGTTTTTTTATTTTTTTGTTATTCTTCTAACAAATCAAAAATTCTTACATACATAAATATCTACAAATTGATAATATACTATATATATGTGAAATATGTTCATTTATTTACTTTATATTGTAAATAATAATGATAAAATTTTTAGGACCCTGGATAATTTTTGTGCTTACTTTTGTTGGTTTATTGTCTAGTAACAATATCTTTTTTAATATTAATAAGGATTCTTTTTACAAATTCTTATATGGGATATACTGCAAATAAATTTTAGGACATTTTATTATGGATAATTATTATATAGAAGTTAATATAATCGATATTCTATAAAGGATGATTTGGACAACTTTTCTCTTGAGAGTGATGAAAAGAGACTAGAGATCTAGTAAATTAAAAAACAGCATCCATAAGTGTATTATAATGCTTCAACCAATTCTGATTTAATGGGATTTTTTGTAATTAATTGCACATGTTTCATTCTAACATACCGGTTGCAACTTTTGATGATGATTGCAATACCTGGTTGCAACCGCCTTTGCGATCACTTTGTTTCTTTTTTTTTGGATTGCGACATGTAACACTTCTAACGTCAAGTTTCTCGTGCAAAAAATTACACTATTTTCAAGACCCTAAGTAATTATTGAATCTCAAGGTAGAATGGCTCACTACTCCTGAACAATTCGTTGCATGGTGGAACAAGAATTACGTAAATTGCAAAGATGAAGGCCCTTCCAGCTATAATTACCACCGGTCAGAATATGGATGTTGGAGTGTTGTTTATGAACAACATATACAACGTTTAAGTCAAAATAAAGATCTTTGCTAAAAAAGTTTATTCATTTCAAAAGAGAAAAATTAAATAAAATGCTTTTATGTGTCCTTTTTACATGTCATTTTGTAAATTGGTGGTGGCAATATTTGTCTTGCACAATGCAGATTTGTAAGATTGTCCGCCGTTTTTCTTTCCTTGATATAGAACATTTAGATATTTTCCATCAAAGCATTCCATTTGGATAAACGGTATAATGTGGATAAAACAAAAAAAAACAAACCTTTGAATTTAATCCTAACAAAACGTCCGGCCACCCGAAATCTAAGTACTATGTTATTTGATTTCTTTTATTTCTTTTCATTTTCCAATGCAGAAAATGATTTGTGCATTCGGAAATTAATTGACGTAACTTGCGTAAAACTTATAAACACGCAGCAATATTTGGAAATTTTCCTGAATCCAACTCATTGTCATTAAAGATTGTAATTCCGCTTGCATACTTGCAACATTTCCTATAACTATAAGAATTTTTACAGAAAATGTAAAAAAGATACACAAGCATTCTCTTTTACAGGATGATTCTGTAAAATTTCTTTTTGGTAAAATGGAAATGTACTAGAAAGTATTCACGGATTGATCAGATGACCAGTTATGTACTTGATGAAAAAATAAATAAATGGTAATAATAATAACACAACCTTTGGATGGCAAACATGATTTTATGATAAATTGATTACGACTGATACTCCCTTATTTTCTAATCATTTTGGTTAATTTATGAAGTAAAATTTTTATTTCCATGCTTTGGCTCTTCAACATTGACACAATTAATTTACATTTGATAATTGACTATTTGTAGCTTCATCAATAATACAATTTTACAGTTGAGACAGATTAAATAAATAGATTAAAATCTTGAACATTATATAAAACCTTTTTTTCTTTTGTCCATATCAACAGATGAATTAAAATAAATAGAATACAAATAGAATGTCTAATTTTCTAACAGACCATATTTATTCATATTTATATTAATATTAATATTGTGCATGTAGTAGAATATATAGTTTGGAAAT